TTAAGTCATCCAGCCTGATGAATCCACAATATTAGCTCAGGTATGAAAGACAGGTTAAGCTGATTATAATCTGCACCGATATTAAAAGCCATGTCCAGTGAGACTGTATAAATTAAGTATAGTAAGGGGCCAAACACAGAACCCTGAGGCACCCCCATTGGTTTGCTGATGGTATTTTGCCCATGAAGTAATACTCCGAATGCAATGTTCAGTTTTTGTGATGTCCAGATCAGAGAGAGTAGACTGGAGATTGTGGTGATTCATCATGTCAAAGGCAGAAGACAAGTTTATTAAGATTTCAATGAATAATTTTGGATTTGCTTAAACATCACATTAATGTTTAAACAGCCTGTTACAAGGAATATCTTGGTGATGTTGTTCAGTTCTTAAGCATGTTTATCTGTTTGTTTGTTTAGGCAGCAGGGTCGAATCAGCAGTGATCCTTGCATATCACGGTTAGCGGTGGACAAACATGTGTATGTAAGTAAAAGGGGCGGCCACACTGTGGAGATCTGGGATAAGAAGACTGAGAGGATGATGAACCTCATTGACTGCGCACAGTTACTCGGGTGAAGCGGCACACATTAACATAACTCATTCACACACTTTGACCCCATTTACACCTGTTATTAACATCCATTTCAGATTATCAGATCACAAGTTGTTGGCACTAAATACAAGTAGGGTCCAAAATGTTGGGAAAGGAAAACAGAAATGCATGTGTAGTGTTAATGCTAATCTGGTCTGTCCTGGATATCAGTGATGGACCACCTACTTGCCTGTCAATCACCCATTGCACTAAAACAAGATATTAAATGTATTTGGTTCAGAAAATAACTGTCCGATTAAAAAACAGTTGGAAAAACACATGCACAAGACTTCATGAAAGATCTCGGATTTGCTTCATATCAACATGAAGTGACACTGATCATGTGAAGCACATCTGAAGTTCATTTGTTATAGGAGTATGACTGAAACGTCATATTTGTGGCATGATGAAAGTTTTAATCATTTGGAAGCAGTAGTTCCACAACTTTTTGCGCTTTACGTTTCATGAAATCAGAGAATCTTCACATTTGAGGCTAAGTATCGACTTCCTAACCCTTCCAGTTTATATGTCCACAACAGATTAACTCCCACCAAAAAGCCCAAAGCCCAGAGTGAGGACCAGTCTAGACAAATGGTGCCGTCTTCGGCGATTGTTAAAGCTCTGTTGGTCCAGCACAGCGGTACTCTGTGGATTGGGACCAAAGCAGGACACATCCTGTTGGTGGAGGTCTCCAGCTGTCAGCTACTGCAGACCATCAGCCCTCACTGCCACTCCATACGCTGCATGGGCTCTGTGCTGCTAGGTACAATGTGATATTCAATATTACATCTCAAATATTTTAAA